TATTATTATTATTATTATTATGACTAGGGCATGCGCACAAGCTATATATGTGGTCAGCCAGGCTGGTGGTAAAATGTTTATACTGGGAACTGCTTCCATTACCACTATAATAAATTGAATGAATGGATATTAATTTTTAGCTCACCTGCCCAAAGGGCAAGTGATCATGAGCTTATGCCATGGCGCGTCGTCCATCTGTCCGTCAAATTTTCCTTTAAACCGCCACTTGTCCTGAGCGGCCCAGTAGATTTTGACCAAATTTGGTCAGAAGCATCGTTGGGGTAAGGGGAACAAATTTTGTATAAGTGGTGGGTCTGGCCCTCCTGGGGGCTCAGGGGCAGTGCCCAATAGGGGGAATATAGCAAATTCTTTAAATTCCTTCTCCTTCTGTAGGAATTAAAGGATTTGTTCCATATTTGGTCAGAAGCATCCTTGGGTGAAGGAGAACCAATTTTGTATAAACCGTGGGTCTGGCCCCCCAGGGGCCTGAGAGGCGGGGCCCAATAGGAGGAACATAGCAAATTATTTGGGCCAAGGGGACTCAATTTTGTATAAGCAGTCGGTGTGGTCTCCCAGGGGGCAGTAAGGCGGGGCCAAATAGGGGAAATAGAGGTAAAACCTTTAAAATCCTTCTTCGACCATCGGGATTAAGGGATTTTTATCCTTCTGGAGAATCCTTGGGCCAAGGGGACTCAATTTTGTATAAATTGTTGGTATGACCCCCCTAGAGGCATAGGGGTGGGGCTCTGTTTGAAGTTTGCTCTCGCTATATCTCAAGTACTGGAGGGATCTTTCTGAAATTTCATATGTATTTACAGCACCTACCATTGAGTGCTATATCTTTACTTCATACCAATTATTTTAAACACATTTAGGTGAGCGATACAGGCCCTCAGGGCCTCTTGTTAAAGTCCTCAGCCTGTTGTGTACAGAGGCGAATTATGTAATTAGTCAATATCATATACACTATGACATAATGCATTTCCTGTTTGAAAAGCTATGTACATATTGATATTGTGACGTTAAATCTGTTTCAGTTCTGGATCAATGAGTACACGACCAACCTGGGAATTGGAGTTTTCCATGCTGGAGTGGAAGTATTTGGAGTCGGTAAATAATGATAAACAATTATTAGTGGGTTATGGTTGTCTGACATGCATCTCACAAGACTACATGATCATGTATCAGTGATTTTTATATGCCCGTCTTTGACGTAGTATTATGGTATGGGGTTCATTTGTTCATTTCAGTATTTGATTTTTTGTCCAGAGAACTTCTCCTACATATTTTGACAGATTTCTTTGAAACTTAGTAGGCTAAATAATCATGATATGTTGTTGTGTTTCTTTGAAAAGAATTTTGATTCAACAATTTTTGCAAAAGTTATTGCCCTTTGTTTATTTCAGTATTTGTTTTTTGTCCGGCAATCTCCTCCTACATTTTTAGCTCACCTGGTCCAAAGGACCATGGTGAGCTTATACCATACTGCAGCGTCCATCATCCGTCTTCCGTCCGTCCATCCGTCCGTCAACTTTTCCTTTAAAACGCTACTAGTCCTGAACGGCCAAGGAGATTTTGTAAATTTGGGCTGGCCGTATCCTTAGGCCAAGATGACTCAATTTTGAATAAACAGTGGGTCTGGCCCCCCTGGGGGCAGAGGGGCGGGGCCCAATAGGGGAAATAGAGGTAAAACCTTAAAAATCCTTCTTTTACCGTAGGGATTAAGGGATATTATCCTTATTTAGTCTGGAGCATCGTTTGGCCAAGGGGACTCACTTTGTATAAATGGTGGTTGCGCCCCACCTGGGGGCTGTGGGGCAGGGCCCAATAAGGGAAAAATAGCAAATTCTTTAAAATCCTCCTTCTGTAGGAATGAAAGGATTTGCTCCATATTGGGTCAGAAGCATCCTTGGGTGAAGGGGACTTTATTTTGTATAAATGGTGGGTCTGGCCCCCCTGGGGGCAGAGGGGCGGGGCCCAATAGGGGAAATAGAGGTAAAACCTTGAAAATCCTTCTTCTACTGTAGGGATTAAGGGATATTATCCTAATTTAGTCTGGAGCATCCTTGGGCCAAGGGGACTCACTTTTGTATAAATGGTGTGTCTGACCCCTCTGGAGGCAGAGATAAGGGGCCCAATAGGGGAAATAGAGGTAAAACCTTTAAAATCCTTCTTCTACCAAAGAGATTAAGGGATTTTATCCTAATTTAGTCTGGAGCATCAATGGGCCAAGGGGACTCAATTTTGTATAAGAATGCAGTGGGTGTGGTCTCCCAAGGGGAAGAAGGTTGGGGCCCAATAGGAGAAATAGAGGTAAAACCTTTAAATCCTTCTTCAACCATCTGGATTATGGGATTTTATCCTTATAATCAGTCAATTTGACTGATCATGAGTAGACTGGAACAATCGCCGGTCAATCGCCTTTTGTCCGGTGTCAACCGGCGTCTATCGTGCATATATCGTGCCTCTGTAAACAATTTACATTTTCGACTTCTTCTCCAAAATTCCTGAACCAATTTCAATGAAATTTTGCAGAAACCTTTCATGGCCAAAGGTCAACAAAAATAGTGGCCGGTTTGGTCCCAAGGGGTGGGGCCAAAAATGGTCAAATTGACTGAAATATGGGAAACATAGCAAATTCCTTGGGCCAAGGGGACTCAATTTTGTATAAGCATATATATATGTAACTAATAAAAAGATGGCTTGAATTTTGTTAGAGAGTTCCTCAGATTTATCACTGTCTGAATTAATTGAGACAGGGTGTATGCAAAATAATGAAGCAAAAGCTAATAATTAGAGATAAATCAAATTTTAGTACTTGCTATTGACTAGTAAATAATACTACTAAGATGATACAGTTTTTTACCAATGACTCATTGAGTAGTATGTGCATGAACGTTCATATATGTACAAAAAACTCATTTGTTTTGACACATCAATTTTTTTTTTCTTTTTTTTTTTTTAGGTTACATTCAATTAGACCAAATAAAACTCAGTGATAATATTTAACTTTTGTTTCAAACTGATCAGAGTTAACTACTGCCGTGTATGTCTATTGTAGATTGCCTTAATCAATAAGAAAAGTTAAGGGTCAATTTTCAATACATACAACATGTTTATTTGTAGAGTACGGCTACGGAGGTCACCCTCTACCTATGTCGGGTATCTTTGAGATTACTCCCCGGGATGCTGAGGACCTGGGAGAACAGTTCAAGTTTAAGTAAGTCCACATTGCTGTGTACAAGTAATCAAAAATAGCAGGATGGACCTGATAAACATACCTATTAACACAATGGTTTGTTACATTTTTTTTAGATGTATGGTTCAGTTATGACTACACTGTTGATTTGACTAGTAATGAGACATATAATTTAAAAATAGAATGAACATGTTCTGTGTTTTCTTAACAAGTAAATAAAATATTCAAATAGCTTATGAGTTAACTCCAGTAGTCCCGTTTGACAGCTTTGAATTCAGCATATTCCAAACCCCTGTTAAATGGAAGAAGTGTCACATGACGACTTTGAAAAACTATTTACACTGGGTAAAACTATTCAGTGTGTATAGCTGTTTACATGGCCTCAACCAAATTAATTAGGTCATAGCTCAGAGTGATGTTATGTTAACCAATGTAACTGTATATGATTAACTCTATGTTGCATTACTGGCAAAATATTTGGCCCGATGTGCATTTTTTCTGTTACATAAACATATCTACATCAGTCTAGTTTTAATGAATTTAACAATGAAACTTTGTTAAATTTCATTCAAACATTTGTACATGTAAGTGTTGTAAAGTGCACATTTATTTTAATTTCCAGGGAATCGATTCACATCGGAACAACAGATTTTATGCCAGAAGATGTGAAAAGAATTGTTGAGCAGCTTGGCAAGGGTTTCCGCGGCGACCGCTACCACCTCCTAAATAATAATTGCAATCATTTTTCATCATCACTGACACAGGTAACAAATAGGTTTGTTTTGGCGTTTAACCCTTACATCACTGTAGACTACCAATGCATGGTAGAATCTGCTAAAGTTGCATAGGGGTGAAAGGTTTAATGTCCTTGCAGCAGCCTTGGTCATATGAGGACAGGTGCCTAGGGAGACACTGGTACTAACTGAGTAACACAAGTAAAAAGTAACTTTCCAGAAGTGAAAATTCAACAAGACAGGTTATGTGCTAATACATCGTAAATATAAATGTATGTTCATCTCCCTTGAATCACATGTTATTTATGAATCATCTCCAATAGATTATGAGTAAACTGATTTTTAGCCCACCATCATCTGATGGTGGGCTATTCAAGTCACCCTCCGTCCGTGGTCCGTCGTCTGTCGTCCATCCTTAAACAATACTTGTTATCGGTATTTCTCAAGAAGTACCAGAGGGATCTTTGAGATAAACAACATGGCCGACAGGCAGCCATCTTTGATTTTGATAGTGAAAGTTTGTTATCTATATTCCTCAAGAATACCCCAAGGATCTTTCTCAAATTTTATATGTAGGTTCCCCTTGGTCCTAAGCTGTGCAGGGCAACTTTTGAGACTGATCGGATAAATAACATGGCCGACAGGCAGCCATCTTGGATTTTGATAGTGAAGGTTTGTTACCACTATTTCTCCGGAAGAACCAAAGGGATCTTTCTTAAATTTTATATGTAGGTTCCCCTTGGTCCTTAGCTGTGCAGCAGTGCCTGAAATGGACGGTCTCCCGCTCTCCAATGGCGATTAAAGTCTTGCTCGGACGACCAAAAGTTGTCAAAAGTGAGGTAGTCACTGGCCCAACAACAATAGTTTGGGTGACTGTTGAAAAATTTATGAATAAAAGAAATTATAGTTCCTTCTACATTAACTGGGGGGCGGTACATATTTCAGTTGTCATTACTTCGATTTGAATCAAACTGTCTGTGACTTCAAAAATGTGATAAAAAAAAAAAAATCTATATAAATAATGCCAGAGTGTCTTCTTTGAGGTGCAAGTTTTGTGTATTTCTTTGGGGAACATGTCAGGTTTTAACTAGGGTTGAAAAATTAAAAATATAATGTTTTATTCTGTTTTACATATAACAAACATTGTCATGTTATATGTAATTTAAATGTGCTGAAGCATTGTGTTAAATGCTGTGGAAATATTTCTTCCCAAATTTATTTGGGCCACCAATATGTCATTTGGGCCAGTGCTTCAAATTTTTTACTCACCCAAAAAGTATATTTTGAGCCAGCCAAAATTGCAATGCAGGTTCCCCACTATCCTTTATTGTTCATGTTTACTTTTGAAACTGATCAGTTAAACAAAATGGCCTACCGACAGCCATCTTCGATTTTTGACATTGAAGGTTTGTTAGTACTATTTCTCAGGAATATCTTCAGGGATATTTCTCAAATTTGATATGTAGGTTCCCCTTGACCCCTCGTTGTGCATGTTATATTTGGAGACTGATCATAAAAACAAAATGGCTAAAGGAAGAACTAAACAGATCTTTCTCATATTGCAATGATCGATTCTATTTCTTTCACATTAAGTACTGTACTAGTAAATATGTGAAATGACAAACTCACTTTGAAGGTTGGCTTTCATACACATCAGTATTAAGTTTAGATCAAAAGTTACCTCAAGGTGTATTTACTGTGAACATGACTCGATCAAACAGATTAGAGGAAAGAAAAGAAAAGATCGAACTGACAAAGAACTAATGAAGATGGTACAATGGTGGGCGCCAAGATCCCTCTGGGATCTCTTGTTCATTTTCTGTAGATCATGTGTTACTTTTTTGTTGTATCTCTCATAGATTCTGTGTGGAAAAGAGTTGCCCAGTTGGGTGAACAGACTTGCCTACATCAGTACCTGTATTCCGTTCTTGGAGCGGGCCTTACCAAAGGAGTGGCTTACCCCTGTGGCCTTGCAGGCAGTTATTCAGGAACCCATGTCCCCACCCCCACAAGGCAGACGATCGCAAGAGGAATTCCCCGACTCCTCTGAACATTTACATAATCCTCGCCTATAGAACATCATCAAGTCTACAATGGCAATGCAAATATATTTTGTTTACACAGAAAAGAAATATTCATTATTCAAACTACGCAAAGAAGAACATGGGTCACTATTTTGTTACGTTAATTTTTACAAATATTTGATGAATATTAAAAAACAAAATTCTCAAAATTGGGAAAGCTTTAAATCTGTATTATTTGTTGAGATAATTTCGTGTATTATTGATGAATAATCATCGCCGTGTTAGTTTATTATACAATGTACATCAGGATGAACTAGACACTGCTTGGACTTGAATTGTCAAAATAACTACAAATTAAATTTGTGTGATCCTATTGTTCGAAGCTTACATCTCCATGCATAAAATTCAAACTAAATATTTTGTTACTGTTTATCAAAAAAGGTGTCGGGTTTCTCAAGTATCTGCCCAATTTTTTTTATTTGAAAATACTATACAATGAGTGTATGTGGTAAATTTGGTAGTACATTTACCTTTATATGTAGAATGTAAAAATGATTTTGTCTCAAGCAGTGCATTTGTATTAGTAGTATAGTTTAGCAACATTTCAATACCAACAAGTGACTTCTCAAGCATAAATGTTGTGACAATTGGTTCAAGAGTGTTGCCTGTTGGCAATGAAATATTGCTAGACTACATTATTATTTGTGTGTCAAGAGTAATTTTACAATGTTTTTAGGTCACTATTCCAATCACTCTTCGTCTGCCGTCCGTCTGCCGTCATGCGTAAACTTTTTACATTATCAACTTTTTCTCAAGAACTGGTGGATGGAAATTTTTCAAACTTGGTCAGAATCATCCTTGGTAGATGAGGCTACCAAATTGTAAAATTGGGATTCCTACCCCAACCCTAGGGGCCAGGGCGGGGCCCAAAAGGGAAAATTAGCCAATATTTCAAAAATCTTCTTCTCCAGACTCAGAGGTATTACAGTCATTTTCTCTGCATGGATGGAAAGATCATCAGGGGCTTTATTTAAATTGTAAATTTCAGGACCCCCGAGCTATCCGTTCTCCCTTGGGGAGGGGGTAAAGTTTACTATAGTTTATATAGGGAAACAACACTTTTGGGTATATTTTGACAATTTTCTGTTGGAAATTATTTTTACTTGGTCAGAATCATCCTTGGAGGAGGAAGATGGTTTTAAATTGTAAAATTGGGATTCCTACCCCAACCCTAGGGGCCAGGGCGGGGCCCAAAAGGGAAAATTAACCAATATTTCAAAAATCTTCTTCTCCAGACTCAGAGGTATTACAGTCATTTTCTCTGCATGGATGGAAAGATCATCAGGGGCTTTATTTAAATTGTAAATTTCAGGACCCCCGAGCTATCCGTTCTCCCTTGGGGAGGGGGTAAGTTTATTATAGTTTATATAGGGAAACAACACTTTTGGGTATATTGTGACCAATTTTCTGTTGGAAATTATTTTTACTTGGTCAGAATCATCTTTGGTTGATGACGGTATCACATTGTAAACTTGGAATTCCTGCCCCATCCCCAGGGGTTAGAGCGGGGCCCCAAAGGGAACATTTACAAATATTTTTAAATTCTTATCCTTTGATGACATGACAAGTATTGTATTTCACTTAGTTTACATGCTGATTTCCACATCACATCTAAACAATAAAATAAAGCTACCAGTTCCTATGATATAACTCAGGTGACCGCTAAGGCCCTTGGGCCTCTTGTTTAAGTACATTTCAACAAAGCCACACAGAAAATTGACATAAGATGTCCTAAAACTAGCAGTTCTTTGAACATTATTGCAAAGGCCACCATATCACAGACTATTGATGTATAAGAATGGACATTTTTCTGTGTCACTGTGTTAGTACTATTACTGGATTTTAAAATTTTGTTAATACCTGGGTAAGAGTTTTTTCAACTGAGGAAGATTGCAAAATATTGATTTTTTACAAAAATGTTCGTATATTGAAATGAAATGAAATGTATGTCTTCTAAAAACCTTGACTTGATAATTCAATTTGATACTGGTATATATTTGATGGCTATTTAAGACAAAATCAAGCAATAAAAAGATGAATAGTTGAACACTGGGTACCTGTGCACTGTACAATGGACAGTTATGTTTAAATAATAGTACTGCAGTAAGGATTTTCCTGTGAAGAGAAATCTAGTTTTTGTCAATAACTGATCATTGTGATTTTAGTTTAAAAATAGACAGCTCATGTTGAAGCCCTCTTGAATTTCAATTGTGAATTTTTCTTAGATGTATTATATTCTTCAAAAATGAATTGGAAATTTATTTTTAGCTCACCTGGCCCGAAGGGCCAAGTGAGCTTATCCATGCCGCAGCGTCCGTCGTCCGGTGTCAGACGTCCGTCAATTTTTCCGTTTAAAACGCTACTAGTCCTGAACGGCTCAGAGGATTTTGACCAAATTTGGTCTGGAGCATCATTGGCCAAAGGGTTCTCAGTTTTGCATAAAGGAGGGTATGGTCCCCCTTGGAGCAGAGGGGCGGGGCCAAATAGGGGGAAAATAGGTCAATCTTTAAAAATCTTCTTCTTCTCAACCAATAGAAGGATTTTGACCCAATTTGGCCTAGACCATCTTTGGACAAAGGAGACTCAGGTTTGTATAGACGGAGGGTGTGGCCCCTCTGGGAGCGGGGCCCAATAGGGGAAATAGAGGATTTTTTTCTCCTACTATACAAGTGAAGGGATTTAAATCAAATGCAATCTGAAGCATGATTAGGGACAAAAGAATCAATTATGTATAAACTGAGGTGTGTGGGCCCCCTTCTAGGGGCAGATGGGTGGGGCCCATTGGGGGAAATAGAGGAAAACATCAAAGATCCTTCTCCTTTTGTATCCATGAAGGGATTTTGACCAAATTTGGTCTGGAGCATCATTGGCCAAAGGGTTCTCAGTTTTGTATAAACGGAGGGTATGGTCCCCCTGGGGGCAGAGGGGCGAGGCCAAATAGGGGGAAAATAAGTCAATCTTTAAAAATCTTCTTCTTCTCAATCAATAGAAGGATTTGGCCAAATTTGTTCTAGAGTATCTTTGGACAAAGGAGCCTCAAGTTTGTATAAACGGAGGGTGTGGCCCCTCTGGGAGCATAGGGGCGGGGCCCATTAGGGGAAATAGAGGATTATTTTTCTCCTACTATACAAGTGAAGGGATTTAAAACCAAATGCAGTCTGAAGCATGCTTAGGGACAAAAGAATCAATTTTGTTTAAACTGAGGTGTGTGGATCCCCTTCTTTGGGGCAGCTGAGTGGGACCCATTGGGGGAAATAGAGGAAAACATTAAAGATCCTTCTCCTTCTTTACCATTGAAGGGATTTTAACCTAACCAAACCAAATGTGGTCTGAAGTATGCTTAGGGGGGAAAAAAACCTCAATTTGTTTAATTTGTAAAAAAATAAAATAAATAAAATGGTGCATGTGAGGCCAATAGGGGAAATAGAGGAAAATTGGGACATAACATGGAAACTCATTTTCTTGGTGTCTTTCCCACCAAAACAGATGTATATGTAGTTCTTCTTGCAACTTTGTTTCTTGTACTCCTTTGATAATCCTGAATGGTACTCAGTAGGTTTTAAATTGAAAAATAAAATACCAGGTGAGCTATTAAGGCCCCTGGGCCTCTTGTCAGATTTATTGTCTAAAATGTTAGCGTCATCCAAAACAATGACAATAAAAGTTAATTGAAAATTTTGTTCAGACTTAATTGTTGAATATTTCAATGTCGTCAAAAACGATGAGATATATATCTGTTGAAACTGTTTTTGGTTGTATACTTTATCTATATTGAAGTTTTTATCCTAAATCAATTATTCATATATAACATAATCCCAGGCCACCAAAAGAAATGATAACTTGGTTCTCAGGCCCATGCGCATTTGTTTTAGGGCACCACATTGCCGATTTTATCGTGAAAGTAAATAAAAAACAAATGTGAATGCGCCAGCCGCCGTCTTTTAAAATATCCGGAAAATTGGTCCGCATGTCCTTTTTACTCGTTAGTCACCCAAGTCCCGGAAACGTTTGAATAAAGAAAAGGATTGATATACAGGCAAGCGTTAAAATGATTATGACTTATTAGTCTTGTGGCGCTCATTTCGGTACAAATAAGGAATGGGGGGTTCGTGATTCTATGACGGATCTCTACTCGACTATAAAAAGACAAGGTTATGCCCACAATGAACGTTTTACAAACTAGACAATAAAAAAAAAAATCGCCTTCGTCTCGTTTTTGCCATGTAAAATGAAAAAAAAACGCCCTGCCGCATCTCTTTTGAAAAGAATTGGCCTGAGAACTAAGTAAATAATTTCATTTGGCCCCATGGTCAAATTTTAACTTGAAGTCATAATTTGCAATCAGGATGTCATATTATTGAATAATGGGAATCTGGAAATCTTTACTGTGTATACCTGTTCTTAGATAGCATCCAACATTGTTCATGTTAAAGACTGAAAAAGGTACATGTCGTGAAAACAAGGTAATACAAAACTTAAGTTTATGTTTTGTTTAAAAAAAATGAAAAGATCTGCTCAAAGTTTTCAGATTTGCTTTATTCAACAAAAAATTAATATGTGGTGGTGTTATACCGACATATTCTATTTGATACTGCTGTTTTCATAAACGCTATTATCTTATCTAAGTTGTATTGTAAAGAATTTCTACTGAACATTTTTAGGTCACCTGAGCTTTGCTCAAGTGACCTATTCCGATCACTTTCCGTCCGTCGTGCGTAAACGTTTTACATTTTCAACTTCTTCTCAAGAACCAGTGGATGGAATTTTTTCAAACTTGGTCAGAATAATCCTTGGTAGATGAGGCTACAAAATTGGGATTCCTACCCCAACCCCTGGGGCCAGGGTGGGGTCCCAAAGGGAAAATTAACCAATATTTCAATAATCTTCTTCTCCAGACTCAGAGGTACTACAGTCATTTTCTTGGCTTAGATTGGCTCTATTTAAATTGTAAATTCCAGGACCCTCAAGGTATCTGTTCCAAAGGGAAAATTAACCAAAGTTTACTATAGTTTATATAGGGAAACAACACTTTTGGGTATATTTTGACATTTTCTGTAGGAAATTATTCTTACTTGGTGAGAACTATCCTTGGAGGAAGATGGTTTTAAAATGTAAAATTGGGATTCCTACCCCAACCCTAGGGGCCAGGGCGGGCCCCAAAGGGAATATTTACCAATATTTCAACAAGAGGCCCATGGGCCTGAACGGTCACCTGAGTCCTACAGTATTAATTTTTGTCGTTGAAATATGAAGTGGAGATAATGATGTCAATCATCCCTACTAAAATTTAAGTAAAAAAAGTTAAGTATAATGTTAATTTAAGTTTGTCATGACCACGAGTTGATCATTCCTAGACCGAGTTTCAGTTAAATCAGCCTATTAGAACTTGATTGAAGTTTTAAATAGTTTTATTCCAAAATGGCACCCGTGGCAGCTGTATTGGATTTTTGGTCGACATGGAAGAAAATAAAAATTGCCAGGACCATCAGTAGATCATTCCTACCAAGTTTCAGTTAAATCGAAAGAGTAGAACTTGACTTTAGGTTTGAAATAGTTATTTACCATATTGGATTTCTGATCAACCTGAAAAATAACAACACTTTTTCAGGACCATGAGTCGATCATTCCTGCCAAGATTCAGTTAAATTGGCCCAGTAGAACTTGACTTAAAGTTTGAAATAGTTTTTCAAAATGGCGGCCATATTGGATTTCTGATCAACTTGAAAAATAACAACACTTGGTCAGGGACTTGTCAGTAACATTCCCATGAAGTATCAATGAAATCCCTTTAACAGTATTTCAGCTTAAGTTGAAAATGTAAAATGTTAACGGACGACGCACGATGACGGACAAAGACGGATAGCAATAGGTCACTTGAGCTAAAGCTCAGTGGCCACTTGTATAAAACATCTCAAAGTTAAGGAAAATCTCAGACAATGTATTGTCTATGGCAAATCTTAGACTTGAGGAAATCTCAAGAGTTGAGATGTTTTATACAAGTGCAGGGCCCTGATGACCTAAAAATCTTCTCCAGACTCAGAGGGTACTACAGTCAATTTCAGTGCATGGATAGAAATATCATCAGGAGCTTTATTGAAATTGTCAATTTCAGGACCCCTGAGCCATCCGTTCCCCCTTGGGGAGGGGGTAAAGTTTACTATAGTTTATATAGGGAAATAACACTTTTGGGTATATTTTATCCATTTTTAGCTGAAAATTATTCAAACTTGGTCAGAATCATCTTTAGTGGATGAGGGTATTACATTGTAAAATTGGAATTCCTGCCCCATCCCCAGGGGCTAGGGCGGGGCCCCAAAGCGAACATTTACCAAAATTTTAAAATTCTTATCCTTTGGTGACATGACTTTGTATTTCACTTAGTTTACATGCTGATATAACTCAGGTGACCGCTAAGGCCCTTGGGCCTCTTGTTAATATTATTCCTGATGTTTGCTATCTACAAAATTCTTGTTATTGCAATATTCAAGGGTATTTTAAAATGTTCTCTATGTATTTCCAATATCTTACTTTAACTCGGTTAAGAAATTGCTATAAAAGGGGAGGGGAAATCAATATTTCCAACTTTTAGAATGGTTATCTCCCTTCAGTTATCGATGTGGTCGAGAATGATGACATCAGTGTTGAATTACAGAAATGTGTGAGTAATTGTATTATAGATAATGACTAGAGTTGTGATGTCATCTAGCAATGCATAAGGTGATAAAAATAAAAGTTAGTGAGGATATAGTAATATTGTTTCCAAGTTTCACTGATTTTATGAAAAGTGCTGCTGCATACACAAGAAGAAGACTGTCATCCTGTATACTGTTGTGTGTAGTTCCAGGGACTCTGCATTACAAAAGGCTTTCAAGTCACAGTCCAGAACTTCTCTGCTGTGGCTGTAGATTTGTTACCCTCTATTATATGTACATGGTTCATGTGTGGGACAGAAAGTGATTTAAATGTTGAATTTAAAGCAGTATACATGCAAGTGAAATATTTGTATACAGAGACATGGCCATAAAAAGATAACATTGGAAGCAAAAGTGAGGTGTTTTTATTAATTTGTGAAGTCTTACAAGGCTACCACTGTAATAGGGTTGTCAAACCCAACCAACGCAGTCTTAGTGGAAATGACTTGAGCTTTTGTTGACATATATAGATTTATTTTTCCTTTATGTGATATCTATCTCATAATCTGTGTTGTATTTGGTCCTGACTAATGTTTGTTTATATATTGTTCATCTTTCCTTTGTTATGTTATTATAATGTATCAACAATATATTGAGATTAACAAAGTTAATCATGAAATGATTATATACTTATTTATATAGACAGTGCCCATTTCTCAATAAAATAGATGTGTTTCAATGCAAAAATCTGTCTAACTCTGTCTTTAAATGTCAAACATTTTGAAATATTTTCATAGAAAAAGAAATTTCTTTTCAAGTTAGAAATTATGTTTATAGACTGCAGGTACTTTCATCACTTTTGCTTTTGTACATTTAATCTCAGATATAAGGCAATATGTACATGTAGCTTGTAATTTTAATGATGTTAATATGCATTGTTAAACCTAATTCATAAAATAGATGATAAAGAGTTATTAAGTTTCACATCATATTTATTTGCTTCTTTTATTTTGCTGAAAACACTAAGTGGATGTTTAGTTATTTTGTGTTAATTGTACATCTGTTTTTAACCCTTTCAACACTGTAGACCATTATGAACTCATTCATATCAATTCACGGTAAGAGTCTACTGAAATTTCATAGGGGTGAAAGGGTGAATGACTCCTGCTCTTAATCACAATATCCCACCTTTACTTGTCTTCATTCTGTGAAACATTTTATGAAATAGAATAACAGAGATAGTTAAATGCCAGTTAGTAATGGTTCTGCTATACAAGTGAGAATGTAACAACGGGACGTCTCAAGGTGTAGGAACATCAGCAGTGTTGGTAATAAGAGTGGGTTTGTGTGTAGGAACATCAGCAGTGTTGGTGATGAGAGTGGGTTGGTATGTAGGAACATCAGCAGTGTTGGTGATGAGAGTGGGTTGGTATGTAGGAACATCAGCAGTGTTGGTGATGAGAGTGGGTTGGTATGTAGGAACATCAGCAGTGTTGGTGATGAGAGTGGGTTGGTATGTAGGAACATCAGCAGTGTTGGTGATGAGAGTGGGTTGGTATGTAGGAACATCAGCAGTGTTGGTGATGAGAGTGGGTTGGTATGTAGGAACATCAGCAGTGTTGGTGATGAGAGTGGGTTGGTATGTAGGAACATCAGCAGTGTTGGTGATGAGAGTGGGTTGGTATGTAGGAACATCAGCAGTGTTGGTGATGAGAGTGGGTTGGTATGTAGGAACATCAGCAGTGTTGGTGATGAGAGTGGGTTGGTATGTAGGAACATCAGCAGTGTTGGTGATGAGAGTGGGTTGGTATGTAGGAACATCAGCAGTGTTGGTGATGAGAGTGGGTTGGTATGTAGGAACATCAGCAGTGTTGGTGATGAGAGTGGGTTGGTATGTAGGAACATCAGCAGTGTTGGTGATGAGAGTGGGTTGGTATGTAGGAACATCAGCAGTGTTGGTGATGAGAGTGGGTTGGTATGTAGGAACATCAGCAGTGTTGGTGATGAGAGTGGGTTGGTATGTAGGAACATCAGCAGTGTTGGTGATGAGAGTGGGTTGGTATGTAGGAACATCAGCAGTGTTGGTGATGAGAGTGGGTTGGTATGTAGGAACATCAGCAGTGTTGGTGATGAGAGTGGGTTGGTATGTAGGAACATCAGCAGTGTTGGTGATGAGAGTGGGTTGGTATGTAGGAACATCAGCAGTGTTGGTGATGAGAGTGGGTTGGTATGTAGGAACATCAGCAGTGTTGGTGATGAGAGTGGGTTGGTATGTAGGAACATCAGCAGTGTTGGTGATGAGAGTGGGTTGGTATGTAGGAACATCAGCAGTGTTGGTGATGAGAGTGGGTTGGTATGTAGGAACATCAGCAGTGTTGGTGATGAGAGTGGGTTGGTATGTAGGAACATCAGCAGTGTTGGTGATGAGAGTGGGTTGGTATGTAGGAACATCAGCAGTGTTGGTGATGAGAGTGGGTTGGTATGTAGGAACATCAGCAGTGTTGGTGATGAGAGTGGGTTGGTATGTAGGAACATCAGCAGTGTTGGTGATGAGAGTGGGTTGGTATGTAGGAACATCAGCAGTGTTGGTGATGAGAGTGGGTTGGTATGTAGGAACATCAGCAGTGTTGGTGATGAGAGTGGGTTGGTATGTAGGAACATCAGCAGTGTTGGTGATGAGAGTGGGTTGGTATGTAGGAACATCAGCAGTGTTGGTGATGAGAGTGGGTTGGTATGTAGGAACATCAGCAGTGTTGGTGATGAGAGTGGGTTGGTATGTAGGAACATCAGCAGTGTTGGTGATGAGAGTGGGTTGGTATGTAGGAACATCAGCAGTGTTGGTGATGAGAGTGGGTTGGTATGTAGGAACATCAGCAGTGTTGGTGATGAGAGTGGGTTGGTATGTAGGAACATCAGCAGTGTTGGTGATGAGAGTGGGTTGGTATGTAGGAACATCAGCAGTGTTGGTGATGAGAGTGGGTTGGTATGTAGGAACATCAGCAGTGTTGGTGATGAGAGTGGGTTGGTATGTAGGAACATCAGCAGTGTTGGTGATGAGAGTGGGTTGGTATGTAGGAACATCAGCAGTGTTGGTGATGAGAGTGGGTTGGTATGTAGGAACATCAGCAGTGTTGGTGATGAGAGTGGGTTGGTATGTAGGAACATCAGCAGTGTTGGTGATGAGAGTGGGTTGGTATGTAGGAACATCAGCAGTGTTGGTGATAACGTTGGGTCGGTATGTAGGAACATCAGCAGTGTTAGTGATAAGAGTGGGTCGGTATGTAGGAACATCAGCAGTGTTAGTGATACGAGTGGGTCGGTATGTAGGAACATCAGCAGTGTTGGTGATGAGGGTGGGTTGGTATGTAGGATCATCCTCACACTGTATGTGTTATGCAGGATCATCCTCACACTGTATGTGTTATGCAGGATCATCCTCACACTGTATGTGTTATGCAGGATCATCCTCACATTGTCTGGTATGTAGGATCATCAGCAGTGTTGGTGCTGAGAGTGGGTTGGTGTGTAGGAACATCAGCTGTGTTGGTGATAACGTTGGGCCGGTATGTAGGAACATAAGCAGTGTTGGTGATGAGCGTGGGTTGGTATGTAGCCACATCAGCAGTGTTGTTGAGGAGAGGGGGTCGGTATGTAGGGACATCAGCAGTGTTGGGGATGAGAGTGGGTTGGGGTGTAGGAACATCAGCAGTGTTGGTGATGAGAGTGGGTCGGTATGTAGAAACATCAGCAGTGTTGGTGATGAGAGTGGGTTGGTATGTAAAGTTGTTATTCTTTCCTCATTTGTTATTGTTTTGTTATACATGCCATGTTTGTGACAAAAAATGCATCATCTTATAATTGTCTGTGGTATGCAGGATCATCCTCACATTGTCTGGTATGTAGGATCATCCTCACACTGTATGTGTTATGCAGGATCATCCTCACATTGTCTGGTATGTAGGATCATCCTCACACTGTATGTGTTATGTAGGATCATCGTCACATTGTCCGTGTTATGTATGATCATCCTCACATTGTCTGTGTTATGTAGGATCATCCTCACATTGTCTGTGTTATGTAGGATCATCCTCACATTGTCCGTGTTATGTAGGATCATCCTCACATTGTCCGTGTTATGTATGATCATCTTCACATTGTCTGTGTTATGTAGGATCATCCTCACATTGTCCGTGTTATGTAGGATCATTCTCACATTGTCAGTGTTATGTAGGATCATCCTCACATTGTCTGTGTTATGTAGGATCATCCTCACATTGTCCGTGTTATGAAGGATCATCCTCACATCGTCTTTGCTATTATGATAGATTATGGTTTTCCTGACTGAATTGAAAAAAATGTATTTGTAAGTGTTTTCTACAAATTCAGGATCTTGTTTCTATTGTTACAATTTATATTGTTCATGTCTAACAGAAGAAAACAATAACATATTCAGTAGTTCTGAGTAACATTGTTTTACATATAAATATTTATCACATACCTGTTGAATCTTGTTATAATAATACAAGCAATTTTCAGACCATGAAATCCAACGTTCTGTATTGCACATGTGCAATACGGAATGTTGTATTTACCTACTAGCCGGAACCATTTTTTATGGGAATTCCGTTGTCATGGGAAACTGGAAAGTTCCAGGTATTTGCAAAAGATATCAAAGTTTATAAAATCTTTGTATCGATCTCTACCAAATATGTAAGGAATGTGATAAAAGCAAGACAACACACTTGTGTTTTCTAACGAATCAGAAAGCACTCATTTATTGTGCGGACGTATATATTCACTCTTGAATATATATTCGTCCGCACAATAAACTTGTCCTTTCTGATTCGTTAGAAAAACACAAGTGTGTGGTCTTGCATATGTATTCTATTTGGATGTAAAAGTTAATTTATCTGATTTTGTTTGTTTATTATTTTTCTTGGAGGACTTGGGGAAACATAATGGTATTCAGGGGTGAACAAATAGGCCACATATCTGGAACTAGTAAATTTTATGTCGGGCCCAATGAAAATTTAAGTATGTTTTATAAAGATATAGACTGGGCTCGAAAAAATTTCAAAATCTGCCTGCTGGCTAGTCCTCTAGATATAAAATTGTACACCCCTGGGATACAGATCCATTAGATATTCACCATCAGTGTCTTGACAGATATATGTGCTATGAAATTTAAGTCATCCCGCCATGGAGAGATCTTTATCAGATCTACAAAAGATGATCTTCAACCTTCTTGCTCTTCAATTTCCTTACAGGTACTTTCATCCAGTCCCATGCAGGAAATCCTAATCAGGAAGCTTGTACATTAACTTCAACCTCAAAAGGTCATGTTATTTGGGTCTATGTGCAAAATGCTAAACAAGAGTTCCGCGAAATGGTACATGATACGCCCGTCATATGTCAAATGAGCAGTTTTCATAGAAATGAACCTTCCTATGAAGTTTGAAATTAATCCATTCAAAATTACTGAAGCTATTGAGCGGAAATTGTTTCGTCAATTCTACAAAGGGCCAAAACTCTGTAAATAACCAGCAAATAATTTTTGTTATCGCAAGCTTTCATAGAAATGAACCTTTCTACGAAGTTTGAAATGAATCTATTCAAAATTACTGAAGTTATTGAGCAGAAACTGTTATGTCAATTCTATAAAGGGATAACTCCATTAATAATAGGCGGATAATGGTTATCAAACTTGTGCAAGCTTTCATAGAAATGAACCATCCTATGAAGTTTGAAATGAATCTTTTCAAAATTGCTGAAGTTATTGAGCGAAAACTGTTTCGGAAATTCTACAAAGGACTCTGTAAATAACCGGGGAACAATTTTGGTTATCGAAGTTGTCCGAGCATTCATAGCAATGAACCATCCTATGAAGTTTGAAATTTATCCATTCAAAATTACTCGAGTTATTGAGCGGAAACTAATGTGTGGGCGGCCGAACGCGTGAAAACATAATACATCCCGTCATTCGACGGGCGTATAAAAATTGTAATTTTAACATAATTAGAGGTGCTGTCAATGATAAAATTTGAGAAAGATTCCTCCGAGAAGTTTCTGAAAAATGGGGCAAACTAACCTCTCAAAATCAAAGATGGCTACCTGTTAGCATAGTGTTTAAATAGAGGGTTTGCCATGGCCAATTACAGCTACATGTTCATTATAGACAGATAGATAGTTGTGAAACACAGGTAATGCAAAGTGGTTGTTATAGACAGATTGACATTATACCCATACGATTATTATAATCTAGGCGGTGTTTAAAGAGGTGGACATGGATGATGTGTTGTAGTTATGTAGCGGAACTGGGCCGAGTCTTATCGCCAGTGACCAGGTAGCTCAATTGGTTACAGCATGCACCTAGAGGTCGGAGGTCAGGTACACATACATGGGTTGTACAGATGTAAGAGAATCACACTGTTCTCTTTCTCAGTGAAAAAAAGGATAAAATGCAATACAAATTTAGTTTTGTATGAAAATATTTATAATGTAACATTCAGACTTGTCTTTCTGTCTGATACGAATCATAAAAGTATTCACAAACTAACACACATTTCACAAATATGACATACCGGTAAATGTTTCCTTGATTGATCTGTAACAACCATCTCTCCTTTTCTGTAAAGTTATAGCAAATCTCACACGTCACACCCAAGCACTCAGAATAGACTCCAACCCAAACTCACTCTGTATACCCATTCACTCGGGACAGACTCCAACACACTTTATACAACTGCTGATATTAGATTGATATTTAAGTCTACAAGTTCTCGCATGTTTCTCATTTCAGCCTAATCTTATACTTTAAAAATTCAATAAGAATTATTTAAATAACATTTTTTTCCTTTGAATTTGCACAGTAATAATTTTACATAAAATCTACCTTGTTGTAGCTTCTTTCCCTGCAAGGGCAGAGGTTCAATTCACATCACAAATATGTACAAATTTTAACAGTTATTAGGAAAACTGACATTGTCCTAATTATTTTTTCCTCCAGTAAATATGTATGTAAAATTGAACCTGTATTAGATATTTTCAAACTAAATAAATACCCTGCTAGTCACAGTGAAACTTATAAAAATCCACATCATTTACTTTCAAGAGATTTTTACACATATTTCAAAACATACTTCTCTACTGACATTCTTGCAACAAAAAATTACAAAACTAGCTACTATTGTTTGGAAATCAGTTTTTTCTGAATAGCAACCTTCAATTTATCAAAACCATAAAAGATATTAAATTGTTCCATCATAGAAAACGAAATATAAAAAAGATAAAAATACTTTGTACTGTAGATACATGATTTCATTAATCGCCATTTGCTGTCATACTCTATACATCTATACTGATTAATAGAATCTTCCCCTACCCGAGGGTTAGACGACCAAAATATCATATTCCCGAGATTTCTCTGTCACACCTTAAAGGTAGGGGATGATTGTTTTACTCCCATCCTATTATTTCAGTCACAACTCCACCGACAGTAGTGTAAACAAAAACACATTTGGGGTATGAATTTCGTCATTCACTTTAGATAACGTCGCAATTACCGGCGACGCATTTTAATGACGTCAAAATCGAACATGTGCTAATCGGCACGAGGCTGTCTCCCCCTAGGGGGTAAAAAGCTGATCTTTCCCGGCTAAAACGGGAGACACACCTGTGAAGGGTGGGAGAAACAGCACTCCTTGAGAAGCATCACTGATGTGAAATACTCTATGTATGACTCTTCATGACATTTAAATCACATTATTTACAGTGAAGATCATCAATCATTTTTAGCATGAATTTATTTATGAACATTTCCAAGAAAATCAAATATCTGCAGATAAAAATTCACACATTTTTAAAAACCATGATCTATCGCATATTTTCAATATGCACTGAGAGCTGCTGATTCAAACAAATTGTTCTTTGACTCTGTAGAATGGACAAAATATAACTCTAACATAGAGTAGAGGACCTGTCAATAAAATACATACACAGTCCACAGTTTACACACTAAAATCATGTCTTAGTTTTATGAAAATATGCACAATGTTTATGACCCAAAATCTACTTTGGTACTTTGGAAAATGATTATATCAGTTAAACATTATCCAAGTTCACAACAGGCAGAGTTCAAGAACACCCATGATTTAGATAACTGTCTATTGATCATGTTCTTGGAAATGTCACTGGTGATTCCGGAACATCACGGAGTACTCATAATCATACTCGGACTGTCATTAAACTGTTGTCACGCATGTTGTACTACCATTCAGATAAAAATAAATGATTTCGTAACTCAGAAACTAGATCAGTGATCATTGTAGAAAATTGTACATCTATTTTTTTCAGTAATCCATATAGAAAATGTAGGCTCAATCTGAACAAACCAGCGTAAATAACAGATCTCTGAAGTAAGTTGTGTTCGGACTTAACAAGACATCTCTGTAGTACGTTGTGTGGCCAGCCTACACCAGCGATTTGCAGAATAAGCTATGACAGGCCTTAAGCAAAATCTCTGTAGCAAAAGGCTGCAAGTCCAGCCTTAAACAGAACGTTTATAGCAAGTTGCATGGTCAGCCTACTCCAGAATTTCTGCAGTAAGTATGTTGTATGTCCAGTGTAAAACAGTAATATATATTAGACCTAAACCTGCAATCTATTTTGTGTCCAGACTTATCCAGTGCTCTCTGTAGAAAGTTAATATTCAGTTGCTAGACTGCTGTTAGGCCACTTGAGTATGACTTCCTATCAGTTCGGTAGCATAATCCTTCCATGCTCAAGACTGGTTTACTTCACAAACGCTTCTGGAGGAATCTTGTTCTCTTTCTGTGGAGTCACAATCAAAAACAGAAATATAGTATGAAAGTATTTACCGGGTAGTCTCATTGACACATCATTTGGCTTTCACACTTCTAAATAACTGATTTTTCCTCATTTACTTATTTCCAAACCATAGCATGGCACAAAGATATATAGTTCTAAGCCTTACATGTATTGCACATAAATGTACTTCTTTAGGTGTTATCACACAGAAACCTTTCTGTGGACACTTCAGGTGCTAAAATATAAGATGGCAACTGATGGGCACATTGAATTTCATACCAAACTAATAATCAAACTTAAGCAGGTGACTGATATTCTAAAGGCAACATTTTGTTGTCTCTATTTGTCGCTTTCACGGGCAAAAAACCGGCTTACACATTTTATCTTGGCTTCAGTCACGATCAAGACATTCCCTACAGTTCACATTCTGGTTATCTTTCCTTCTACAGTTTATTGTTCACTGCTGATATCACATTCTGGTTATCTTTCATTCCACAGTTTGTTTACTGCTGATATTACAATCTCTTTTTCTAAAGTAACTAAATGTGTTCACCTCTATTTCTACAATCAGCACCCACGACTTTTATCTACGTATACTAAGCTACATACCTGTAGTGAGAGGAAAGCTTGGCCGGCTCCATCGTAATTCCAATTGTGCTCCTCCAAACACCTGAAAATCATATGTAATCCCATAGCTATATGTCGTCCAATTAACATTTCTGAAAATTTGAATTAAAATTCCGAGTGCTTTATCTCTGTGTCAACTACATTGATGAATATTTAAGAATATTGGAAGACCATATACAGATATGGAATTGTGATGTTTCCCCTATGGTCTGTACCAGTCACACTGGAGATTCCAGCGAGTATACCTACCCCAATTGGAGTGTACTAAAATTCTAGTATAGATGCAAATATATACAGATAACTTAATCTAGCTCTGCAACATTGCCTATGTCCGAGCAATCACTGCTTGTGATCATGTACGTCTTGTACTAATAAATATACACAGGGGATATATACAAAGCAGCATCAATGTAACAGTAAATGCAAACAAGAGGCCCAATGGGCCTGCATCGCTCACCTGGTATTAATCTCACACTTGTAATCTTAAAAGTGGACTTAAATACAGCTACAGGCAGAATATCAGTGTTTGCTTCATAAGAACCTATTAAAAGATTTAAACCTGTGACCTTGAATGTCAAACAAGGACATAAGGTGGAAACTGGGTCAAGGTCATTTATTTGAACAAACTTGGTAGTCCTAAAAAGTTGACGCCGGATGGATGACAAGACGCTGCACCATGCCATAAGCACAATTGGCCCTTCGGACCAGGTGAGCTAAAAACACTACATATAGAACAATAAAACATGAAATACTCATCTAACTGAGCACTCCTTCTACTGATCGCTCAGAACGTGCATATATACACACGCAGCCGATCGCTTGCTGACCTCTCACTGCTCGACCACCCTACACGTACTCTGGCGATAGCTTGGGATAGCTCAGTACGGCAGATGTCTTGCTACAATGATAGCTCAGCAGCACTACATGTACCGATCTTGTACAATCTATACAACTCCTCTTGCTAACCTTGAGTTATCCCAACCACTCGTTGGTCCCTATAACTCTCTATAGCAATCCAATGAGCTCTCACAGTGCCCGTGATTTATCAATGTAGCGGACTCGAAGCAACACGATAGCTCGCCCTCCAGACATACCCCATCATTGAAAGCTCGCTCTCTAGTATACTTACAACTAACAAGTGCACCATGCACGCTGGCCGAGAGACCGTACACGCTGGTCAAGAGGCCGTGCATGCTGGCCGAGAGGCCGTACACACAGGTCGCGATGTCGTACACGTTGGCCAAGAGGCGATGCAAGTGCATTTTGGCTGGCTTATCAACCCATATGCCCCGCCCTACCTGTCAATCACCAGGAGATTGCATGCATCACCTATGTGTTTTGACCTGGGCTAGGTCAAGGCCAGCTCTACTCTAGCGCGTAAATAACACGGAGAATGCACAGAAACACGGTGGTTTAAAAATAACAAGAGGCCCACTGATTCTAAGCAAGGAAAATGAAGAAATTTTAGCACACTGACACCTTTGAGCCCCACCCTACAGCCCTTGGGGGTAGGGCTGGCTCAAAATTTTCAAAGTATCAAACTGTCAACTCAAGGTTATAATTCCAATCAAGTTATTAACATGTAATATTCAAAGTATCATTTGCCATTATAAACCATAATAAATTTTGAGACCCC